AGACATCCAAGATGGCCTCCGAGACAGCCCTGGAGCATTCCAAGAGGGCCACAAGTCGGCCAAGAGAGGCCCCCAAAACGGCTTCCGACGGCGTCGGACGGGCCAAGAGCCCACCAAGACGGCCGAAGATGGCCCAAGACGGCCCCAGAGGCCTCCAAGAGGGCCTCCAGGAAGGCCCGGAAAGGCCAAGATCCTTGATTTCCCATTAGTTTGTTTTAAGGATTGTGGCATTTGCTTCTGTTCGGCCTTCCGACGGCCCAAGACGGCCCAAGTGCCCCCAAAGATCGCCCACTATTCCCAAGACGGCCCCAAGAGGCCCCAAGACGGCCCAAGAGGCCTCAAAAACGCTCAAGATGGCCTCCAAGACGGCCAAAGAGCCCTCCAAGACGTCCCCCAAAAAGGCCCGAAAGGGTCAAAATGGCCTCCCGACGGCCAAGATGACCTTCTAGATGCCCACGTGCTCCCCGAAGGCTTTCCAAACCGATTCGGGGAACACATGGTCCGATAGCTTGGCAGGGTCGGCCTCATAGGCACTTCCGAAAAGGCAGGGGGCGGCGGTGATTCGCCGTAGGCGTCTTCGATCCGCCGCCCCCTGTCGATTCATCGCAGGGGTGCCTGGCGTGCCAATCTATTTCTGTTTGGGTTTTGGCTCCTTTTCCAACAAGAACTCCCCCTGGGGCTTCGGCCCGTCCCGCCGACCACCCGGAAGGCGCGCAATTCTCGAATTGTTTCGCTCCAGATGGCCCAAGATGGTCTCCAAGATGGCCACGTTGGCCCAAGATGGCCTCCAAGATGGTCCAAGATGGCATCCAAGTCCGCCCAAGATGGTCCAAGACGGCCTCCCATACGGCCCAAGAGAGTCCAAGACGGCCCAAGACGGCCCCCCAGAGGCCTCCAAGACGGCCCAAGAGGCCTCCAAGAGGTCCTCCAGGAGGGCCCGAAGAGGCCCAAATCATTTGTTTTCCTTAGGATGTTGAAGGAGTTCCGCACTCGCTTCTTCTCGGCTTTCCGACGACCCAAGACGGCCCAAGAGGCACCCAAGATCGCCCCCACAGCGCCCAAGAGGCCTCCAAGATGGCCTCAGGACTGCCCAAGAGGCCTCCAAGACGGCCCCAAGAGGGCACAAAGGCGACCCTAGAGGCCTCCAAGACGCCCAAGCTGGCCTGTAAGACGGCCCTGGAGCACCCAAAAAGGGCCTCAAGTCGGCCCAGAAAGGCCCCCCAAACGGCTTCCGACGGCGTCAGACGGGCCAGGAGCCCACCAAGATGACCAAAGTTGGGCCGAAGTTGGCCCAAGACGGCTCGAGAGGCCTCCAAGAGGGCCTCCACGAAGGCCAGACAAACACATTGTTTGTCCAAAGGTTTTTGAAGGATGTTGATGATTGCTTCGTTTCCGCCTTCCGACGGCCCGATACGGCCCAAGAGCCCCCAAAGATCGCCCACAGATCGCCCAAGAGGCCTCCAAGATGGCCCCAAGATGGCCTCCAAGACGGCCCTGGAGCATTCCGAGAGGGCCCCCCACGTCGGCTCAGAGAGACCAGCCAAACGGCTTCCGACGGCGTCGGACGGGCCAGGGGCCCACCAACACGGCCGAATCTGGTACTAAGATCGCCCACGACGGCCCAAGAGGCCCCCAAGAGGGCCTCCAGGAAGGCCCGAAAAAGGCCAAAGATCGCCAACTATTCCCAAGACGGCCCCAAGAGGCCCCAAGACGGCCCAAGAGGCCTCAAAGACGCTCAAGATGGCCTCCAAGACGGCCCAAGAGCCCTCCAAGACGTCCTCCAAGAAGGCCCGAAAGGGTCAAAATGGCCTCCAGGCGGCCAAGATGACCTTCTAGATGCCCACGTGTTCCCCGAAGGCTTTCCAAACCGATTCGGGGAACACATGGTCCGATAGCTTGGCAGGTCTGGCCTCAACGGTCGGCCTCATAGGCACTTCCGAAAAGGCAGGGGGCGGCGGTGATTCGCCGTAGGCGTCTTCGATCCGCCGCCCCCTGTCGATTCATCGCAAGGGTGCCTGGCGTGCCAATATATTTCGGTTTGGGTTATGGCTCCTTTTCCAAAAAGAACCCCCCCTGGGGCTTCGGCCCGTCCCGCCGACCACCCAAAAGGGTCGCAATTCTCGAATTGTTTCGCTCCAGATGGCCCAAGATGGTCTCCAAGATGGCCACGTTGGCCCAAGATTGCCTCAAAGATGGTCCCAGATGGCCTCCAAAATCGCCCAAGATGGTCCAAGACGGCCTCCAAGACGGCCCAAGAGAGTCCAAGACGGCCCAAGAGGCCCCCCAGAGGCCTCCTAGACGGCCCAAGAGGCCTCCAAGAGGTCCTCTAGGAGGGCCCGAAGAGGCCAACATCATTGATTTGTTTTTAGGTTTTTGAAACATGTTCGCATTCGCTTCTTCTCGGCTTTCCGACGACCCAAGACGGCCCAAGAGGCACCCAAGATCGCCCCCACAGCGCCCAAGAGGTCTCCAAGATGGCCTCCAGACTGCCCAAGAGGCCCCCAAGACGGCCCCAAGAGGGCACAAAGACGACCCAAGAAGCCTCCAAGACGCCCAATATGGCCTCTAAGACGGCCCTGGCGCACCACAAGAGGACCCCAAGTCGGTTCAGAGAGGCCCCCAAGACGGCTTCCGACGGCGTCAGACGGGCCAGGAGCCCACCAAGATGTCCGAAGTTGGCTCGAAGCTGGCCCAAGACGGCCCAGGCCTCCAAGAGGGCCTCCAGGAAGGCCAGAAAACGGCAAAACACATTGATTGTCCAAAGGTTTTCGACGGATTTTGACATTTGCTTCTTGTCGGCCTTCCGACGGCCCGAGACGGCCCACGAGCACCCAAAGATCGCCCACAGCGCGCCCAAGAGGCCTCCAAAATGGCCCCAGAACGGCCCCCAAGACGGCCCCAAGAGGCCCCCAAGACGGCCCAGGATGCTTTTAAGACGCCCAAGACTGGAGCATTCCACGAGGGCGCCCCAAGTCGGCTCAGAGAGGCCCCCCAAACGGCTTCCGACTGCGTCGGACGGGCCAGGGGCCCACCAAGACGGGCGAAGATGGCACTAAGATGGCCCAAGACGACCCAAGAGGCCTCCAAGAGGGCCTCCAGGAAGGCCCGAAAAGGCCAAAATCATTGATGGCCCATGAGTTGTTGTTGAAGGATTGTGGCATTTGCTGTTTTTCGGCCTTCTGGCGGCCCGAGACGGCCCAAGTGCCCCCAAAGATCGCCCAAGAGGCCCAAGACGGCCCCAAGAGGCCGCCAAGACGGCCCAAGAGGCTTCCAAGACGCTCAAGATGGCCTCCAAGACGGCCCAAGAGCCCTCCAAGACGTCCTCCAAGAAGGCCCGAAAGAGTCAAAATGGCCTCCAGGCGGCCAAGATGACCTTCAAGATGCCCACGTGTTCCCCGAAGGCTTTCCAAACCGATTCGGGGAACACATGGTCAGATAGCTTGGCAGGTCTGGCCTCAACGTTCGGCCACATAGGCGCTTCCAAAAAGGCACGGGGCGGCGGTGGCTCGCCGTAGGCGTCTTCGATCCGCCGCCCCCTGTCGATTCATCGCAGGGGTGCATGGCGTGCTAGACGATTTCGGTTTTGGTATTGGTTCTTTTTCCAAAAGAACTCCCCCTGGGGCTTCGGCCCGTCACGCCGGCCACACGAAAAGGTGCACAATTCCACAATTGTTCGCTCAAGATGGCCCAAGATGGCGCCAAGATGGCCACGTTGGCCCAAGATGGCCTCCAAGATGGTCCAAGATGGCCACGTTGGCGCCAAGATGGCCACGTTGGCCCAAGATGGCCCAAGATGGCCTCCAAAATCGCCCAAGATTGTCCAAGACGGCCTCCAAGACGGCCCAAGAGAGTCCAAGACAGCCCAAGACGGCCCAAGAGGCCCCCCAGAGGCCTCCAAGACGGCCCAAGGGCCCAAAGAGGCCAAAATCATTGATGTTCCTTATGTTTTTGAAGGATTTTCGCATTTGCCTCTTCTCGGCATTCCGACGGCTCAAGACGGCCCAAGAGGCCGCCAAGATCGCCCCAAGATCGCCCACGAGGCCTGCAAGAGGGCCCCATGACGGCCCAAGATGCCTCGAAGACGGCCTCAAGAGGGCCCCAAGACGGCCCAAGAGACCTCCAAGGCGCCCAAGATGGCAAGTCGGCTCAGAGAGGCCCCCCAAACGGCTTCCGACGGCGTCGGACGGGCCAGGGGCCCACCAAGACGGGCGAAGATGGCACTAAGATGGCCCAAGACGGCCCAGGAGGCCTCCAAGAGAGCCTCCAGGAAGGCCAGAAAAAGGCCAAAATCATTGATGACCCAAGAGTGTTTGAAGGATTGTGCCCGAGACGGCCCAAGTGCCCCCAAAGATCGCCCAACAGGCCCAAGACGGCCCCAAGAGGCCCCCAAGACGGCCGAAGAGGCCCCCAAGACGCTCAAGATGGCCTCCAAGACGGCCCAAGAGCCCTCCAAGACGTCCTCCAAGAAGGCCCGAAAGGGTCAAAATGGGCCTCCAGGCGGCCAAGATGACCTTCCAGATGCCCACGTGTTCCCCGAAGGCTTTCCAAACCGATTCGGGGAACACATGGTCCGATATCTAGGCAGGTCTGGCCTCAACGTTCGACCACGTAGGCTCTTCCAAAAAGGCATGGGGCGGCGGTGATTCGCCGAAGGCGTCTTCGATATATGTGAACGCTGAGGACGCGAAGCCGAGCAGAACTGGGAGGTCATGAGGAAAACCTACTGGATATAAACAGCGCGACCTTTCTGACCTTTGCGAATGCATCAGACGCCTGCGTCGTTTGCAGCGAGATGCTATGATCAAACAACAGATGATCATCACTGATAATTCGCACTACGTCCCGTCTACATACAAGCCGACTATCGTGATTCAAGGGATGCCGGGGAGACACCCTCAGCAGGGCAAAAAAAAATGTGGGCAGACGCGCTCCATCTATTCCGACGGACTCCTTCGGACCCTCCCGAACCACCGTCTCATCCCTGTCCCCCTCCTCCCTCGCACACCCCCCCCGAGCCAGCGCCCGTCCCCGCTGCAGCCGAGGCTCGCAACGCAGAGGCTCTCCGAGCCAGCGTCCGGCCCTGCCGCAGCGCAAGCGCTCGCACATCAGAGGCTGATCTTCGTGAGGGACCCGGGCGCGAGCGGCGCACGGCCATGGGCCGTGACGTCGTCGGCAGGCGCAGCCGACTCCGTGTACTGGCCGAAGGGCGGCGGCGGAGACCGCCCCCTGGACTGTGGCGAGATCGCCCGGACCCCCGCCACCTCTCCAGGCGTGTGCCCGGGCGTGTGGCCCCCGGCCCAATTGGGTGGCCCCACCAGCTTCTCCCTGGGGGGAGGCCCAGGTGGCCGCCGCAGAGCTCCAGAGCTCCCAGCACGGGGCCCAGGCGGCCCCCCGGGGGCCCCCGAGTGGCGCTAGAAGCTGGGGGCACACCATGCTGAGCCCCTGCTTCTGGGGTGTTAGTAAACGGGGTGGTGGCTGAGAGGCCTCTACGAGAGAGTACAGGGTCACAGGGCATTTGCCTCGCACTGGTGCGTGACAAATCGGGACTGCAAAATCGTTGATACATCATCATCACTCTGGGCGGGGGGGGGAATACCTCGCACTTGTGCGCGGCATATCAGTTTCTCGAAGGCATCATTGAGAACGCACCCTTAGCTACCACCCCGTTGACAGACGCCCTGTCTGCAGGCAGGGGCTCGGCCACGGGCCAGGAACACCTCTGGCACCCGCCGAGCCTCCGCAGGGCTGCTCACGGAGCCCAAGAACTCCTGGCGGTGGCAGCTCGGGCAAAACGCCGGCTTGCCCATCCCGTGCATGAAGGTGGTCCAGTGACCCCAGCACCGCGTGCAGGACTTATGGCAGCAGCCGAGCGTCTGCGGGGGCCTGTCGCAGGTGTAGCCCTGGAGGCAGATGGGGCAGGGCTGCTGGTCCACCGCGCAGAGGCTGCTGATCTTCTCCTCCCAGAGGTCCAGCTTGGACGTCATCTTGCGGTTGTTGCCGTGGGCCTGCCACATCATGTGGTACACGAACCAGTCGCGCGTCTCGGAGATGCCCATGTTCTCCTTGCTGTCGATGTCCTGCAGCTGCTTGTCCATCCAGGCGGCCATCTGCTGGTCCAGGAGCGGGCGGCTCTCCCCGTGGAACTTGATCAGGATCCCCCGCATGCTCTCGACCTCTGCGAAGTACGCCTCGTAGAGGCCGAACTTCGCGGCGCGCTCCAGGTCGTCCGCGGGCTCGACCCGCAGCGCCTGCAGCAGACTGTCCACCTTGGTGGGCCCGCTGGTGCCCGCCCCGCGGCCGCCGGGGCCGGCCGGGGGGCAGCAGCCGCCCTCGCTGTCGCTCTCGCTCTGCAGGGCCGCGCGGCTCGACATCAGGCCCGCGCTGCCGGCGCCGACCAGGACCCCGGCCTCTTGGAAGGCGCTCTCGTCGGAGCTCGTGGCCCCCCGCATGAGGGCCTCCGACTGCACGGAGCACGGGCTGGGGCTGCGGCTCCTCTCCATGGAGTGGCCCGCGCTCAGGATGCGCCTGGCGCCCTGCTGCACCTTCTCCAGCAGCTCGTGGCGGCGGTCGTGCCGCTCCCTGGAGGCCGCCGTCGCCGTCGCGCACCGCTCGCGCGCGGTCTGGAAGTCCATGCCCGCTGTGGCCTAAGACAAAGCCAGGACGAAAATACATATAGGCAAGGATAAATGGAGAATCTCTGAGATCCGGCGGATCTGGAAGATGTCTCGGGCGCCGCGGCCTTCTCAAAGCGTTCCGGAACGCTGCTGTGAGAGCATTCCAGAACGCCCTGGAACGGATTTGTCCTCGTCCTAGCCCCGCCCGATGGCCTGAGACATCTGGCTCAGGGTCTCCGCCACCAAGGCGCGGGTGCGTAACGCCAGACCCTTCGCCGCCTTGCATTTCCGGAAGCACAGCTCGCGCTGTTGGGCGCGCTCAATCGAGCCCATGTCGAGGTTGGCCGCCGCCTTGGGAGTACCAGAACGGCGTGGTGCCAGGCCGTGCGGTGACCTCGAAATCCCCGAAGACCTCACCAAACGGGCCGTCACCGCACGGCTGGCGCGACCTTGGAGGCCCAGAGTCGCTTGGGACTTCCTCGGAGAAGGACTCAGGTTCCAAAATCGTGCGGCCACCCCGACATCCCCACTGACTCGCTCGACGGTGTGGTCACCGCTCCCTTCTCAGACTTCCGCCGCCTGCGCCCTCGCCACGGCCGACCGCCAGCGCTCGCATGACGCGGAGCGGGAGCCCAGCGAGGCCGCCACGCCTCTGGATGGCGTCCCTATCGCCGAGGGCGGCGCCATGGAAGGCCACAGGCGACGGGCCCAGGAGGGCAACCCGCGGCAGCCCTTAGCCCAAAATTGATCCGGACTTCGTTTCGAGGTTTTGGGGGCGTGTCCCAAGGGCTCTGATCGCCACCGCTGGACGCGGCTCGGAAAACTGGCGAGGACTCTGAGGATTTGGGGCGTCTCTAGCGCCTCATGTCGCCGCGGCTGGACGCAGATCGGAGAACTGGCCTGGATGGAGCCCCTAAAGAGGTGCAAGGACCGATCTTGAACGGGTTCTGGGGGCAATGCCACATGGGCTGCAGGTTCAATCGGTGAGACCCCCGCCCCTTCTCATCCCCAACCCCTCCTCCCCCTCCTCTACAACTACACCATATGGATACTACTCTCCTCTCTCCCATGGTGGCGTCTGGGGAATGTCTGCCCCCCCCCCCGCCCCCCCCCGCGTACTGGTTTTCTACACACCAGGATTCCTGGGAATTGGGATTTCGCTTGGGTTTCTTTCAAAAACCTGCTCTCGCTGAAGCGCTGGCTTCATTTTCGGGCTACCGCTCGTTCCGAATCGTGCTCTCGCTGCAGCGGTGGCCTCATTTCCGCGTTTCCGCTGGTTCCGAATCGTGCTCCCGCTGCAGCGCTGGCGTCATTATTTCCAGCGCCATGCCACGGCATGATCGTCGGTCCTTCCAAATAGGCACCAAAATATAGAAAATGCCCCCCGAAGAAACCATCGGAAGTGCTTACACATTCGGTGTCGATTCGTTGATTTTCTGGGCCGCGGACCCCCCTCGGGACGTCGCCACGCCATGCTGTGTCAGGCTACGCGTCCACATTCCCGCGCTTACACGCTGAGTTGTTCTTCGTTTTTCTAAAATGCTGCTCTCGCTGAAGCGCTGGCCTCATTCTCGGGCTACCGCTCGTTCCGAATCGTGCTCCCGCTGCAGCGCTGGCCTCATTTCCGCGCTTCCGCTCGTTCCGAATCGTGCTCCCACTGCAGCGCTGGCGTCAGTATTTCGAGTGCCAAGCCCCGGCATGGTTTTCGATTCTCCCAAATAGGGCCCAAAATCTAAAAAATGGCCTCCCGAAGAAACCATCGGAAGTGCTTACACATTCGGTGCCGACTCCTTAATTTTCTGGGCCGCAAAAGCCCCCCACCCCCAACTGGGGAGTCGCGACGCCATGCCATGTCATGCTACGCGTTGATCTTCGACACCATACTATGCCATGTGATGCCTCGCCATGAGATCTACGCCATGGTAAGGGATGGGAGGGAGGGGTAGTACGTCAGATATAACGCGAGCGCACCTAGCTTGTCCTCCCTCCCTCCCCTCCTCCCTCCCTCCCCTCCCCCCTCCTCTGTCCCTCCTCTCCCCTTCCCTCCCCTCCCTTCCCGGTTCATCTCCCCCTCCTCCTCCTCCTCCTCCTCGTCCTCCTCCTTCTGTCCTCCTCCTCCTCCTCCTCATCCTCGTCCTCCTCCTCCTCCTATTCTTCCTCCTCCTCCTCCTCCTGCCCCCTCCTTCCCTAAGAGGGTGTTGGCAATTGTCTGTGTTTAAACATTTGTCAAAGCATCACGGATTGAGGGCGGGTCGTTTTCAACATGTGTCTCTCGCTTTAGCTCCGCGCGAATTTGTTTTGAACATTTGCAAGAGTTTCGCGGATTGACGGCGGGCCGTTTTCAACATGTAGTTAGTTATCGCTATAGCGCCGCGCACAGTATTTCAAAACATTTGTAAAAACTTCACAGATGGAAGGCGGGCCGTTTTCAACATGTGGCTCTGGTATTCGCGCCGCGCGCATTCTTTCTAAAACTCTGCCAGAGCTTCATGGATTGAGGGCGGATCGTTTTCAAAATGCCGCTCTCGCCTCAGCGCCGCGCGCATTCGTTTCGAAATGTTGCACGGTTTTCACACATTGAACGCAGTTCCTTTTTAACTCGTGGCTTTCGCCCCAGTGCCGCGCGCATTCTTTTCAACACGTCAGACAGGTTTTGCGGATTCCCATGATCAGCGCACCAGAAATCATGCTTTTGAAAGGCTCAGGATTGTGAGGGCGCATCTGTTGCGTTGATTCGCGGTGCTGAAGTCCCAGGAACGGCGTTCTGGCATGATTCGGGACCGTCAAAACGCAACAGTCAAGTTGATCCGTGGCGTTGGGGTCCCGAGAATCATGCATTGGCACGCTCCTGGGTCGTCGCACGGTGTATTCCAACGAGGCAACGCGATCAGCGGAAATGGGCCGCTGCAGGGGCCTGCGAAGAGGGAGCTTGGAGGGAGGGTTAATTCCAGCATCGTTGGTGACTCTTGGGCTTACACTGGTCATCCCCATCCTCGTCCTCCTCGTCCTCCTCGTCTTCCTCCTTCTCCTCCTCCTCCTCCGCCTCCTTCTCCTCCTTTCTGTCGGTTCAGCCATTGACCTACATGATCCCACGGCGTGAGACTCGCAGCAAAGAGACAGGGTGGCAGAGAGAAGAGAGAGGGTGAGAGAGAAACAAAAAAAAACAGCGGGCAGGACGGGGCACGTTGTTCCAGGAGCAACGCACCGAACTACACCCAGGTGCAAATAAATGCCGCGCGGCATATGGTTGCAAAGCGACCGCTAAACCATGCGCGCCGGGAGATCTTCTCCACATAGGGACAGAGCCATCGGGACCATTCTTGGGGCAACCCCCGCAGCGGACCGACTGCCTGAGGTGTCAAAGCCGCACGCAAGCGCCCAAATTACCTCCTCTGAATAGGGGCGCCGCGGCCGAAATAAACCTTGGTGGAAGGGCAAATCCCCCTCTGAAGGAGGGACAGACTGTCGGCAGCACTCTTATCAACTAGCCGACCGAGCGAGGCACTCTTCAGACAGTTTCAAGAGCTTAGCTCTGCCAGAACCTCTGCACCAAGCACGAAAATACAAACGCAGATTCTGGACTGGCCCGAGACTGCCCCGGAGACGATGGGACACGTGAGCCTGCCTCAGGATTTCAGGCGAACAAGTGCACTGGGTTAAGACGAGGCCTGCATAAGTCCTCGAGCGGGACAAGCAGACCTTGCAAGCGAAACCCTTCCCACAGTGCTGAATCCGATGACCGTTCGGGCTCGGCACTGTGAGCAACTCCGAAGGTTTAGCTCTAGGCCCTGCGTTACCAACCTGAACCTCGGGAAAGGATAATGTGACCAATTCCCTGGAAATTTTGCCGTGAACATGGCGAGAGAAGAGAGACGGGCAGCCTGCACGGCCTCCAAGTCCTGGCGGTGCGGCGAGTGGGCGACCTCGCTGGCGGTGGTCTTCGACAATGAATCCACAGCGCGATTGCCGTGCCACGCCCAGGGTGGACATCCCAACGCACAGGCCTGCGTGAGAGTCTTATGAGCGGGCCCCTTCAACAACTTCACAGAATCGGCGCCTCGGTTCGACGCTCGCTGGAGAATCTCGTACCAAAGCTCACCGAAGGGGAGATCAGTGCAGTCCTGGAGGCAGCCTCGGGACCAAACAGAAATCAATGCAGCACTATCGACTCCTATGACGGGGCCCTCAGGTCAAAATTGTCTGAAGACCATCAGAAGTGCAAACCACTAAGCACCGTGTGCATGCTGCACAGGGTGCGGGAGAGGCCCCGACGCACTGGCTAAGAGGTGCCCCTGATCAGTCGTCATAGCGAAGGCCCAACCTGCTCTGCTGGCGCGTCTACTTGTAAACTCCACGACAGAGCCGCCCAGGCGGGGGAACATCCCACCTCCACTTGTCAAGAGTCTCGGGCACGGGGGAACGCCTGACGGGGGAAGGGCGGGGCAACGGGCGAGGAAGGGGCCATCAGGGCCCCCCCGCTCCCACTCAGGGAGCCCCGGTTCAAAACCATGGCCGCTCCTAAATAACCTACGGATTTGCAAGGCAACCAAACAACATGATAAAACATACACCCCCGAGAGAAACCGCAGACCTGGCAGGCGCCACTCAGTGCCCGACGATCCTGAAATAAATCTATCTGAATGACCGAACCTCTAGACACATGCGCAGCCAATAGTGAGGCCCCCAGATCATCCCCATCGGTTTCTGAGCGTCTCACAGACCTCGGCAATGGGCTCTGGCGACGGCCTGGAGAAAGACTCGCCAGCATGCTCCCGCTGCAAGACGCCGTGGGTCGAATCCTTCGTAGCAATATCAACGAGGCGCTTCAAGTTGCAACTCCTAAGCTCCGCAAGCTCATCCGGCATCTCAGTCGGCAAATGTCATCTGGAGAAACTCTCCGGGGCCCTGCCAATCCCCTGAAGCGTGCAAACCACCGCCCCCGTAGACCCGCGAACTTCAGACCAGGGCAGCCCCGGGAACTTTGGAATATAGAACTCGAAAGCGTGCTCGACATGCCCCCGCGGCGCCCGAGACCCCCAGCGGGCCCCCCCCGAGACAATCGGAGCCGAGATGCCGACGCAGGCTGGATCCGCCGCCCCGCTGCCAGAAAGAGCGAGCTGGGCCGCGCGCGCGGCGCCCGGCAGGCCGAGGAAGACCCGCCGCAACAGCGGAGCGAAGATGCCGCACTCTTTGGCCAGATTCGCCCATGACCTAACTCCCGCAACTGCCAGCAGGTAGAACCCATGTTCCCGACGAAGATGTCAGCTTCTTGAACTGGGATTCGAGCGAACGAGATCTCCCAGCCCCGCGCCTGAATCTTCGCGACCCGAACCTCTTGCATTCGAGCCGACCGAGTGCGAAGGGAGTAGTCGCAACCGAGGTTTCGAACCGAGTGGGCCGATTTGAATCCCCAACGTTTGAGGCCTTCACACATTCCTGCTGAGAGTTCTGCAGTATAGGCGAACACATTACCTTTACCCGTAGAAATGATCCACATCCTGGCCTCCGGCTTCTCGCAAAGGTGGCGCGTGGTCTTGGCGGCCTCTTCCCTGACTGGATTGGCGGTGGCTATAACCTGAATCGCGACGCCATCAACAACGCTGTAGAAACTGCGAAATGGATGCGCCAAGACCACGCGATCGAGATCCTGCAAGATAAGGACACGAAGTAACGTAGCGGCACAACCACATCCTGCCGATATAGTTGAGAACTGCACAGGAGGCCTTGAAGAAATTGACCCACGAGGA